GGAAGAGCGCCTAGTATCTGAGTCATAAGAAACCATGCATTCAGATCAACCCTTTAGGCGCAATGTATGAAACCTTATCAGTAGCGGGCCGATGGATGGATCTATGCGAAGCTTTTGAGCTATCAAGGTCCCCGGAATCAATATAGTACATCAAGCTTTCCGAGCCATTGTATTAAGTATCTGAGTATACTACTATATTACACTACCTGCAGGAAATTAGCTGAGTGGGGCTCCAAAACGCCATCAAGGTTCCTTCGAGATTTGTCCCCTGTCTTCGATGTTAAGACAGAAAGTCTAAGCCAATCGCCGCCACATCAGAAGGGGTGTGCTATACCCAGCAGCTCCTGCAATAGCCGTAGTTAACCGGAACTGGGTACAGGGCTATCATAGGGTCCTGTTTATCTATCAAGGTGCCCGTATAGCTAGCCTCCAGAGTAAGTAACTAAAAATAGACTGTACTTACAAATCTTGGAGAGCAGGTAATCTACGTAGTAGACTATAGATTGAAAGGCCCAAGTTTTTCTTATTGCGAGCCAGAATATATAGTATGGTATACATAAGAGTGTAAGGGATGCCTTGGCTTAGTCAGGCTGATTATAGAGGTAATTCCCCTATATACATAACTATTCGTCTAATGAGACGAGTAAAATAGGTGTGTAAAGTTGTACTGTTGTAGTTACGTAACTGGGCTAGTAAAAGCAAGTCCTTGTAATAATAAGATGGTTTTGTGATACTGATGAAGCGGACCCTAGCTAATAGATCCGGCGCTTATGCTAGCGTAGCATTTGACACGCTCTTGGCGGAGCTAAAATATGACAACATGTAGGGTTAAGTGAGAGGGTCTGATGGATTTGGTCAAAGAACTTAGGAAACGTACTTATCTCTGTATAGTAATGAAGTATCCGATCTGGCTCGTACCTAAATTCGACTGTTTCGATTCTCTGACAGGGTATATGAAGTTGGTTCATACAAAATGCTTAGTCTTCGCGGATGGAATTGAGTCCATATATGCATCGGTTGCATCCAGGAGCTAAATATCCAATATGGACCAAGATACGGCAAAAGCGGGTGTCTTTAGAGTGTTCCTCAATGCCAGTTTTCATATCCACATTCCCCCTGCAAACCATCATCCCACTTGTGTCGTTGTGGCGGGGGATGAATGCCTTGAACTGTGACAGTCGTGTCATGACTATTAGTTGGCAACATACGAGCCATAATAGGAGAGTTTGCAGATAAGGCGTCCAACCACGACTGCAGGAAAAATAAGGAGAACTATGCATCCTAGTCGCGAGGAATATATCTCATGTTGACAGATCACATGCATGCTAAGAAAAGTGGGTGACTTGACTTACTAGCTTGCTTGACTAGACTTTTTCGCAAAAGTTGGAAGCGGTCCGTCTACTAATAGTCTAGTCAGTAGTCTCGTGCCCGAGACTATTTGACTCTACAACAGCTCACCGAATGTTCCGCCAGAAACTTACCTTTCTTCTGACATCTCGTTCTTCACGCTCTCACTTTTCTCTTGAATTCCAGTCCATTGACTTGGAAACCAGAATGATGACCCAGACTTGTGAGGAACCCTTTGCTAACGCAGACAATGCGGTTGTCACGATCGAGAAACCTTTGACAGGCGACTGGTCTAGTGTGCAGCGCGTTTCGCAAAAGCTGCCGCATAACGACGATCCTGTCCAGCGCATCGTCCAGGGCATCGTAGAGCTCTTCAAGCGCATCAAGGGACTCGAAACCCTATACCCCAATCCTACCAACGGGGCCATCTTCAACCAGCTTTTTGACCTAGTCACAACATCCAAGACAACTAGAGCACAAGAGGAAAAGGTGCGCTTACTGCATTCTGCCTTTTACTTCGTCCACATGGCTGCCTGCCTGACTGACACTTTCTTTCCATGTAGATTATGACTGACGCATGCGTGACTGCTGTCATCCCGGAGCTCCGTCAACTCTGGGGTGAAGGAGAATACCTCCTCGAGCTCGAGTTCGCACGCAAAGTCATCAGTGGAAGATCAAGAGCAGAGAGTCAGCTGCTCTTCGAATCTTTCCCTTACTTGGACCAGTACCACCAGCTGGCGCGCATGTGAGTTAAGATACAAACATCCCCATGCCCCTTCCCCTCCATCATTTCAGTCCTATGTTCCCTTCTAGGTGACTGACTGTCCATCACTTCCTCAGGGAGGCCAACACACTCGACACAGCTGTTGGCGAAGCTCAGCTCCCACGCCCGCGGAAGGTCGTCTTCCTCGGTTCGGGTCCGACGCCTTTTACGGCCCTATGTATGCGGCCGAGGCTGGGTCGCGACGTTGAATTCGTTAATGTTGACCGCAGCGAAGAAGCCATCCAACACGGATCCCTGGTTGCCCGCTGCTTGGGTGACGACATGCGCTTCGTCAAGGCTGACGTCTCCTCTATACCTGAAGACATTCGGGACAGCGACGTGGTGCACTTTGCGGCCCTCATCGGCGGGGACGAAGAGCAGAAGCGTGATCTGCTGATCAGCGTCGCAAAAGTCATGAAAAAGAACGCCCTCATCATGATCAGAAGCACCGACAGCCTGAGGCAGTGCCTATATCCGAGGATGGACACAGACGACTATGAGGTTCTGAAATTTTTGACCCCCGTTGTCACAACGAGGTACTTTGGCAAATCAACAAGCTTAACTAGCATTGTGTTTAGTGTCGACTGAGGGATATATCTTTATGTTATGAGTTAGATATAAGGAACAAACAGACTCTGAAATAGAACAAGAAATCTCCTTACTAAGAACTATTTATAATGTAGTTCACAAGTAAGTAAGCCACATAAGTGAGTAAGCGACTTCTTATCGCTAGAAAAACCCTGATTTCTAACTGTTTATTAAAAAACAGGCTTATATCTAGACAATAGTCTAGATTTATTCAATTTCACTAAGACTTACAACGTAGTACACAAGTGAACGGTCTACACAAGTAAATGGTCTACACGAGTGAATGGTCTACTTCCTTATCGCACTTTTAAGGCCACTTTTTCACCTATTTTTTGAAAAATTAGAATAAGGCCTAAAAAAGGTCTAGTCTTCAATATTAAGCTTTAATAATAGTTATATTATAGGACATAGTATTACAAGGACAAAAGTTTAACTAAGTAGACTAGCATCTATACACACCTTGTTACGTGGAGGTAAAGGCTAGCCTACGCTCAAAACAAAGCAGTGCACACCCCTGACATTGTCTGACGCCCCCTGTTAATAATTCCTGCTAGCAGGGACAGCCTTGCTAGATATTGCGGCTATAGTGTAAATCACACCTAGACATGCTTACCACAGAATCCAGTCCAGTTCCTCAGACTACGTCCGCATGTTGAATTAGGTGCTGGGCCTAGGGACAGATATTACGTATAGCAACCTGGAAAGCGGCCTCGAAAATAGCCATTAAAAAATTCAGGTAATGAGTTCCCCCAAACATAACCTAATGCTCTCTACTGCGGTAATAGTGCAAAACCTGTCGCTACATGTAATCATAGCTATAATAAACCTAATAGGGTTAAGAAGAGACTACAAGCCTGTCAGACGCGGACGAAAGGCTCACAGGAGTCGTACAGTTGGAAAATTAGCAAGCAGATGATGATTGATTCTAGTATCACTGATCACTCTGGTTCGCAGTGTGGGCCCTTCTCGACATCTTTACCATTTTCCTCGACATCTTCACCCTTGCCCTCGACATCTTTACCCTCCTTGTCCTTGAAGTCCTCGATCTTAGGTTCGATCAGGGTGACGACCGCGCCAGCCTCAATCTTTCCTACAGGCTCCTTCCATCCTAGATCTCTGGCTAATTCTGTCCAGTTCACGCCCTCAACTATATCTTCCACAGCTTCGCCGTTCTGTGTCTGATTTCAGAAATAAGTGGCGATCTCAATCCACTTCTCAAGCCACTTGTACTCCTCTTTTGGTGTTTCAGCCTCCTGAAGTATAATTTTGCTATTGGTTTTCTGCACCCAATTTTTACATGCATACCCATATGCCTTATTGGCTGTGCAGCTCGACGTGGTACCGGGAAGATTCACTGTGAAATAAAATTTCAACTTGAAATCGCCATCACTATCATCGAAGATGTCGTCACGCTTCCCGTGTCACATCCCGAGTGATTGGGCCCAATGAATGCGCCACCATCCACGAGACGGTTCGTGGATCAGCCCTGAGGCAAAGGTCAACGTGTCTACTTATGTTCCAAGGGCTTTCTTTGACTCACCTGTAGTTCCTGCATAGTTCTTCAGTTCCATCTGTGGGGTCCTCCAAATCATTTTCTTCTCCGGTTGTTAGCCCAAGCTGCGGTGTGCTGGTAAACCTTAGCCACAGGTATAGGACCGGAAAGAACGCTCCCGGAGCATGGATCGTGTTTTCGTTCTTGTGACTTGTCGAAGGGCTCGGCCGAGAACATTTATTTTCTATCAGGCTATATATTATCCCTTTGAATACGAGCGCTACCTATTCGAAGAGATGTGCCATTCTCGGGACTCAATGTACTGCTTGAATACTCGGCAAGTCGGTCCGCAACGGTCAGACCGAATACGCTGCCACAGAGGATAAGGTCTCCGAGACCCTCTCCCGTCATTGAGCATAGCACGACTTCGCTGTTTCTTAGTCATCCCTGAAGCCCAGGACATACGGCCGTAAGGAAGCAGGAAGCGCATAGGCGATGTTGCAACGAGGCGACTTATAGCGGGGGGCTTCATATGCATGCCAATCGAAAGCTGACAAGCCAACTGTTTTTTGACCGGAGTGGAGATGCCCAAGCTTTGGCGTTTAATGTTGCATATGTTGTCACTTATAGGAAAGGCAAGCCGCAGATAGCCATCGTTTTTGACGCAATCGGGTTGCTGTGACTGGAGTTGTTGGTGCGTGGAGTGCTGGGGTTCCCGTCTGTTCTGAGCTTGGATTGGCGCATGCAAGCGGTTAATTACTGCGTTGCCAATCAGTTTTTTCTTTTCTTTTTCTTGTTGCAGATGGAGAAGAGTTGGCGGTGAAGAGGTGAACAGATAACAGAGCCATGTCGCTGTTTGGAAATGACATTAGATTAATAGGTGGGTTCTTCTTCTATAAGCCAACCCAGGATAGAGCTCCGTTGAGGCAGCCTAAGCCTCATGTTATGTAACGATAACCTAGTAGACTAGTCCATATAATACAATAAATCATGGAAACACATGCACATCGTCTTCTCTATACCAGTCCTTTTAGATCTTGGCGACCACCACGTTGTTCTCTTCGTTGTGGACGGGGTGGCTATCCTCAACAGCCAAGGTCTGCTCGTCGTTCAACTTGGGGTTCCTCAGGAGGAAGGCGAAAGCAATCAGAGGGACGGTCAAGCAAATACCGGTAATGGTAAGTAGTCGCTGCACATGCCTGTAGGACTCGATGATGGCCGCGCGCTCGGGGGTGCCAATGGGATAGTCGATGATGGCAGACAACGGTTTACCATAGGTGTAGGTGACCAAGGTCTCGTTGTTGAACTGCGCAAGGTTCTCCTGGAGGGTTGAAGGCAGCACCTGAGTCCAGATGGCGCCGGACACGGTGTTGCCGAAAGCCGAGCCAATGTTGTAGGTGGCAAGGTACAGACCGGTCATGATGGCGAGGTGCTCATGCTTGAGACTACTCTGGATGGAGGCCTGCGCGGGGTACGGGAACATACCGCCCGCAATACCAAGAAGAACCTGGGCGCCGATGACTCCGCTTTGGCCGGAAGGAGAACCGCGGTAGTGGATCAGAAGGCCGAACGCGACCATGAAGAGAACGGTGCCGGCGACGATGAAGTATTTGAGGCGGCGAACCTTGTATACGACAAAGCCGAGGATGAAACCGGTGATGACACTGCAGAACGAGTACAATGACGTGATGCGGGTGGCCTCGGCGATGCTGAAGTCAAAGGCGACGAGACAGACCGTGTACAGGTAGTCTCCCTGCATGTACCACGCCCAGTTCAGGCCCAAGGCGATTCCCAGCGCAGCGACAATGCCGCGATCCTTTATCAGGTAGAAGGGGACCAGCGGGTGCTTGGCCTTGCGCTCCCACAAGACGAAGGCGGGGATACACAAGATACCGATGACGAGGGGCGCGATGATGTGAGCCTCCTGCCAGGACGAGGTCAAGCCGCCTGCCAGAGTAAAGGGGACCAGGATCAAGGCGAAGATGGCGATGACCAAGATGATGCCGATGACGTCAAGCTGCCAGAAGAGCTCGATGAGGAACTTCTTGAGGCCGAGCGTCCGGAAGGGTGACGCGTACGAGTCGAGCAGGCCCTGCTTCCGGGCACGACGGCCGACGATGGACAGGCTGACGATGAGGGGAAGGGCGCAGACGGGGTAGATGATGCACCACATGCCGATGCCCCATTGCCAGGTACTGTTGGCCAGGACCGCCGCCGAGATGTTGCCGCTGACCCAGGTGTTGATGATGAAGGGCAGCGCGGGGATGTAGCTGAACAGCAGGCGGGCGCGGGTGGAGGTAATATCAGCGACGATAACCTCGACGAGCAGCATGATCATGGTGTAGCCGACCTGGTAGATGACGGCGCCGGCGGCAAAGGCCCTGACCTCGGTCGCGCAGGCCTCGACGATGGTGCCGACGACGTAGAAGAGCACAGAAGCGCAGATGAGCTCGACGCGACCGAAGACATCAGCGATCTTGGCGGCGGTGGGCTGGGCGGCGGCGGCGATGACGGAGCGCAGGACGTTGACGGTGGCGAGGAGGGAGTGGGTGGCGTAGCTGTTGGTGGCCGAGGGCTGGTAGGCGTAGCGGAGGGTGCCGTCGAGGCCGTAGGCGTAGGCGACGAGGAAGACGCCGAAGAAGATGAAGACGCGGTCGGTGCGGGTGATGGCGGCGGCGAGGGCCTCGACCCGCACGACACCCGGCGACTTTTCGCCGATGATGCTCCCGGAGGAGTGCTCGTAGGCTGGGGGGCCGTTGTTGATGTTGTTGTTGTCGGCGACGGCGGCGCCCTTCTCGGGCGAGGAGGCCTCCGGGCCCGGCGAGACGGCCTCGGCGGGAGACTCGGCCTCCTTCTTGCGGCCAAAGAGTCCCATGTTGTCCCCACGGGATGACCGTCGGTCTGAGAAGAGGCGGTATCGGGAGGTTCGGTGACGTGTATGTCGTCGGCGCGACGGAAGCTGTGACACCACAGAGGTCAAAGCGTGAAGATGAGTGCCGCTCGGCGCAGGTTGACCGGGGTGAGGGTGATTAGGTGACAAGTGTACGCCGATGAGCGACTTGAGACGAAAATAGAGTATGTTTAACCTCTTGGTCGCACAGAGTCCGCTACCCTAGGATCTTGAATAGCAGTATCTCTGATAAGCAGTCACACAGATCAAGGTCTGAAGGCCTGCTAGCAAGAAGAAAGAGATAGTAAGAAAGGAAAACTCCCAGAGCCTTGAGCCGTCTGCAAGAGAGACTGGGATGGAGGGGAAAGCAGGCGAGGTTGCATCAGCCGCTTTTTAACTTTCTTATGGCGAAAAGCAGCTTTATCGCTCCCCATGCCTTGCAGGCCGCCGAGCCAAGGCCAGCAGTACTACGTTGTCTTTCCCATCCCCACCTTCGTGAACATCGGAGCCATTCCGGGGGTGTCAGTGTTAGCCAACGAGTGCCAACCAACCTATCAGAGCGAGAGGGAGAAGACCAGGTTCAAATCCTTACTGTACGCTAGCCCAACACGAACGAGAAGGGGGAGAAAAAAACTTATCGAATGGGCTGGTGGTGGTGGTGCGTATGCACATGGGTGATGGTCGGGATTAGGCCTGCGCAAGTGAGCAGAGACAACCGAACCATCAGAGTTTTTTTTATCAGATCCATCTTATCTGATGTTAGCGCGGACGCCTGACTCTGGACCGATGGGGCGACCGATACCGCAAACGGTTACGTTTCTCGTTGGTGTCTCTCCCATGGTCACCCCAACCACCCCAGCCATGCATAGCCTACTGGAGAAGATAATGGGCAACGGCTTACTCTGTACGGATACTCTTTCTCCTTGCCTGTGAAGTACCGTGAAAGACTGTTACTTCACAGAGGCCGTCAGTAGAATATGGTTCTGACTCGATTAGGCTATCGGCGGTCCTCCGACAAACTCACAGGGATACTGTGCAATGCTGGTGCATCAAGCGCATTTCGTCTTGCTCTGATCATTGTGAATCGAACTCACATCGTGTTTCTCTCTCTCTTTCTTTCTCTCTTCCCGTCTCTCGCTCTTCAGCAGAGACATCATACCTCGTAGAGGACCACGCATCGGACCCTTGCCTCCTAAGCTACCCATGCGCACCCGTATCCATGTTCTCATGTGCCTCTCGCCCGCCCCCCCACTTCGCGACCCGTCTGGCCATCCATGGCATCCGTCTCCGCATGCTCCCGACTGGCTCAGGAACGGGGTGGCCAAGTGACCGAATCATCGGTCAACCCGGTAAAGCGCGACGAATGGTTGCCACCAAGTAAGAGCTACAGCGGATTCAGTAGCCAAACCAAGTTGATCCTCCGCTGGGAAATGGGCTCGGACCGGCGTCTAGATCCTTCGCCGTTCTCCAGTTCGGTCAGTGTTTCCCTTGCTGGTCGAGTCCCACTGACACATTCTGGCTAGAGCTGCTTCGGATACTACTCTTTTCTGTTTCCTCGGTTCCTCGGAAACCGAGTAACCTAGAAATGTATGTATGCCAAGCCTACATATCACTCTCACGCGCTCACGAGTCTCCATATGCATCATCTCTAGTACCGGTCTGCAGGCGGGGCCATTTTTATCCATCCATGCTGACGGTGTCTCTCTCTCTCTCTACTACATGTCCGCCTGATTGCCGCCCGCAGCTAGTCTACCAAACTCTTAGCCCGGCATCATACAAGTGCCGTCTCCAACGACACTCGACTAGCAAGGGTTCAATTCCATCGACACATGGGAAAAGAGGGCCACTTCCGATCAATGGAGTTTCCCTAGCTACTAAATAGTGTGCCGGGACCCATCTCGGCGACCGAGATCGTGGAAGTGAACCATAGTGTCGGGTGCAACCAAATAGCCGGTTCCAGCCCTTCCAGTACCAAACACAGCTTGTGAGGGACTAGGTGCTCACCGCCGGGTCATGAGAGCTTCTTCCAGGCCTAGACTTTGAGTTTAGGCCAACGAGTGTTCCTTGTGATTGTCACTCGCACGCTGCCCCAACCCAGCTTAGATCAACACCTCTCTCTGACTCTGTATTTTCCCTTCTCTAAACCTGCCAGCCAGTCTCACCTTCGTCAGCCGCAGCGCCAACCACCCCAGAGAGACCGCGATCAAGTGATCCACGCCAAGCATGACTTGCCCTCATCTATCCATGGGCGGCAAGCCTCATGGCCATAATGCCTGCCGCCTTACGCTATCCAGAACCAGATCCTCTCTAGCCAGTTCCGCGGCTTCACGACCGGCCACGTCGGCTCAAGCCGGTCAATCTCCGCCTTTCCCGACCAAATGTCCATCTCCGACAGCTTCACAAACTTGGTCTTTTTGGCAAATTTGTATCCCAGAAACAGAGACAGGAAAATCGGTATGTCAATGTACGGCGGCAGAAACGTCTTGGCGCTGAACCGCCCAGGGAAGAATGCGTCGAAGCCGTTGAACACTGCCACGGTCAGGCAGAAGACGATGGAAAAGTACGCGAGGAACGGCTGCATCGGGGCCTTGTACGGCAGCGTGTCGCGGTCGACGCCGTTGTGCCTGAGGCACTGGTAGAAGCGCAGGTAGACGAAGCACACGCTGGCCCAGACGATGAGCGTGCTCACGGCGCTGAGGTTGCTGATCCAGAAGAACACCTCGGCGGCGCGGTTGTCGACGTTGAGGTAGACCAGGCAGCCCAGCGCCGTCGTGGCGGCGACGCAGGCGTACGGCACGCCGAACCGCTCGAACCGGAGGACGGCGGGCGCCTTGCCGTCGAGCGCGGCCGCGTACAGGACCCGCGTCGAGGCGTAGAAGAAGGAGTTGCCCGCCGACCAGGCCGAGCTGAGCACGACGCCGTTGATGATGGACGGCAGAGTACGGATGCCCGCGTTGCGGATGGCGATGACGAACGGGCTCTGGGCCGCGCCGGGCGCGCTGCTGCCGATCGCGTCGAGCAGGCTCGGGTCCTCGGACGACACGCACAGCCCGACGAGGAAGATGGCGAGGACGTAGAAGATTGCGATGCGCCAGAAGACGCGGCGGATCGCCTTGGGGATGTTGCGCCGCGGGTTCTCCGTCTCGCCGGACGCGACGACGACCATCTCGCTGCCGCCGTAGGAGAAGGTCGCCTGGATGAAGACCTTCCAGAACGCGAGGAGCCGGCCGAGCGCGCCCGGCCGGAGGTACTCGCGCATCGGCCCGGGGTCGTTCCAGTACCGGAAGCCGATGGCCTCGCCGCTCGGCCCGCCGCCAACGGTGATGATGAACATGAGGAGGATGAGGCCGACGATGGTGGTGAGCTTGACGGCGCCGAAGAAGAACTCGGCCTCGCCGTATATCCGGACCGGCAGGCAGTTGACGACGACCATGGCCAGGAAGAAGACCGTGATCAGGGCCGCGCGCGGCACCGCGTGGTCCCAGTAGTCGAGGATGACCACCGAGACGGTGACCTCGATCGGGACGCCGATGGCGAACTGATACCTGTCTCGCTTTAGCGTCCGCACGATTCTCGGCTCGGTTCCACGTCGCGGATGAAGTCGCCTAGCCGCACCGATAGCTCGCCGGCCTTACATCCTGGCGCACCTAAGAAGAACGGGGACTGTCTCACCAGTAGTTCCACCCCAGGGTGAAGCCGAGGGCGGGGTCAACGAAGCGCGCCGCAAAGATCGGCACGGCCCCGGGTATCGGAAGCCACGCCGCCATCTCGCCGAGGCTGTTGATCACGCAGTAGAGGTTGAAGCCCGTGACGGCGTACGAGATGAAGGCCGACAGGGGGCCGGCCAGGGAGAGGACCTGGCCGCTGCCAACGAAGAGCCCCGTGCCGATGGCGCCAGAGAGGGCGAGGAACTGTACATGGCGAGACTTGAGCTTCCGGTCCAACGTGCCAATGTGTTTTAGTTCCTGCTGCTGCTTGAGGTCTGTCGCTCCCCCGGCCGCGGCCGTCCCTGGCTCGATGTCGAGGTCGTTGGACTCCCTGGCCGTTCCGGGCCCTTTTGGCCCCTGTTTCTTCTCCATGTATGCCTCGCCACTCTTTTTGAAAAAGTAGCTTTTCTTCTAGAAAGCAGTTTGAAATCGCTGGGGTCCGCGGATATGATGAGCCTGGCCGAGCAACGCATTCTATCTGGGTTTGGACATTATATCAAGACGACGAATAGGACAGAGAAACGCGCGGGCCTGGGCTGGGTTTAAGCCCCGTAACCCCCGAATCCTCCTACCTCCTCTTTTACCATTTACTACCAAGGTTCGCTCCTTGAGCGTAGTTTCTCTTCCCTAATCAGTATCATGCGTGCAGATCCCTGCGTTGTGATGCTGCACATGGCCAGGCAAAATGCGGGGTTGATAAGAGATGCAACCCATCTGATGGATGGCCCAAACACCAAATGATTGCAGACTCAAGATGCCGTATCTCAAAGGTCTGGCCCGACCACTCATGTAGATGATATGGCCTAAGAATGCATGTAAATTCCTAAAAGTAACTCGATAGTTGCGAAACATTGTACTTCATAATGGCCAGTTAGGTCGAGGTAGGTTAAAACATGATCATAGAGCGTAAGCCATTATGAATCTGTGCTCTCAATAGCGTAAGAGGTTACGTGCAGCTGTTAGTAAATAAAATGTTAAAATGATACCATATATATATATATATTGTTGATTACGTGCGCGTGTAGAAATCGAACTCGTATACTCGCCCTGAGTTGGCTTCTACCATATTGTGTTTGAATAATCTTTTTTTTAGGATTCTTAGCGGCTCATTAGTGATTGCATCATGAGTCTCTAGGTCGGTTGGACTATTCTTGAATTCTCTTCTTTTTTTAGTGCTGAGCAATCAGCTCCTCTGATAGACTGAGGCTTCCAGAAAACACTCCCCCGTCATCTTGTCATTAACACATGCTTGTACGATATACTCTACCCTTTCAGTCTTCTGGTCTTTTGTATCCCGACGCTTAGATCAACAAATGTTCAACTTCGAAGAAGAAACAAACTTCGGTTTATCCCACCTCCTCATAATCCTGTAGAGATCAAAATTATCGCCGCCTGGACATACGACAAGGACTCAAACTTCGAATCACATCTCGTGGGAACAGCATACCAGGAGCTTACGTGGTTTGTCAATACCTCAACTATCAAGCGCTTCATAATACTGGAGCGGTGTACGGGTATCTAGAGCTTCTCAAGCTTCCAGTATCAAAACTCCCAACACGTTCCGTTCTCTCAGCAGTATCCCAAGTCCACCACTCGAACCACCTGTCCCCTCAATCTCCACCGAATACGATCCAAACGTCTCAGGTACTCCAAACTCGTTTCTCCGGATCTTCGTCCGGTATGTGTGCCAACACCCGACAGCTCATACCCTGCAACCCGCCCACCGCTCCACGGTCTCGTCTCCGCCCCCCCGGCACTCTCCGAAGCTCCCTCAATGCCCCGCAGACGAACGTGTCGGCCCACGAGAAGCCAGTGCAGGATATAAGGGAACGGCCTGGCATACTCGACGGCACTCCTGAAAACCGGCGCACCGTCGACTGTCGTTTGGTACGAGATGCTGGCGCCGTGCTGTAAAAGAGCCTTAACGGCTTCGAGATTGCCCTTGGCGCACGCCACCATCAGCGCAGAACCCTCCACGGACCCTTCGACGTCGATTCTCGCGCCGTAGCGAAGGAGCGTGGGTATGCAGTCAAGCTTCTCCCTGATCACGGCGTTGCAGAGCGGGCTGACGAACGTTTCCGGTGTCGAGTTGGCCAGCTGGACTGCGTTCTCTGGAGGGAGGCGTCTGAACAGCCTTTTCAGGATATCGTTGGCCGTCGTGCGGCTGAACTCGATGACGAGGGACAGGAATCCCGCCCGTGTGTCCCTGACCCGGGAAAAGTCGAACCCGTAGTTGAACATCAGACCCGGAAACCCGCCGCGGAGGATGACTTCGTGGATCGGCGTGTACCCTTGGTTGTCGAACCTGTAAGGGTCCAGACCGAGCCCCATGAGCCAGATGAACATGTCTGGGTCCCTGGACCTCTCGCCGCAGACACCGAGTAGGCTCACACCCTTGGCGCTGCGGACATGGATGTCGGCGCCGTGCTCCACAAGCAACTGCGCCATCTCCAGGTGGCCCTCCAAGACGGCCGTGATCAGGGGGGTGGAGGACCTCGAGGCCCAGAGGTTAGGGTTCGCCCCGTGCGCTAAGAGAAGGCGGGCGCCATCCAGGTGGTTGGCGCTTGTGACCTCGTTGAGCGGAGTGCCGGAGAACTGCTGTCCAGGCAGATTAACGTCCGCGCCGTACCTCAGGAGGGCTTCAATCATCTCAGTGCTGCAAATCGCTCCACAATGAAGCGAATCTATTGCAACTAGCAGCGGCGTTTGGCCGATACGGAACATGGGCAGCAGATCCGGCGAGGCGACAGGCTGGTTGACATAGTGCCTGAGAATGACGTCCGCTTCGGATTCCGATGCAGCGGGCGTGTCAGTTCCGACAAGATTCGATGCGGGATCATATGACCCCGAGATGCCCTTCGCGGGTGATGATGGCCATGCCCGCATGCCACGGAGAAGCTTCGCATGATGCTCAGGAGACTCTCTGATCCAATCGGCAACCATATGCATCCTGTCCGGCACGTTGCCGATGGCGGCACAATGAAAGGGACTCAACTCGTGGCCGCTCCAGTCTATGGCACCCAGAAGGTACGTGACGAACCCTTTCATGTCTTGTCTCGGGATATGGTCGGGTAGCATGAGGGCTATGTGCAAAGCGGTGCAAGGGTAATGTAAGCTCGGGGCGACGATGGAGTGCCGCGCGCAGCGGTTGGCGCGGCTCCACGTCGTCATGCCGTGATCCAGAAATACTTCACCAATCGCGAACTGTCCACGGGCAGCTGCAAGGACGAGAGGCGAGCATTCGCCGCAACTCATCCGAATCGAGTTGACGTCCTCTGGGTCTACCATCTTCAGAGCACTAGTAGCCAGCTCCTTCTCGCTCGTTTCGATGAAGAGTTCCAGGACGACGCCAATGAGGCTCGCTCGACCCCTGATCCTCTCTGTTGTTTTCACCAGTTCATGGATCAAAGGCCGGAACGGCTCTATCACGTCTCTGTCTTCGTGCTGGAAGGCCGCCATTAAGGCCCCCGGAACGTTCATTTTGTTGACAGTCTCCGAGTCGAGTTCCAGAAGCGCCTTGACAACCTCACACCCGTTCCTTGCCGCGATGCTCAGGGGATCCCAGTGACCCCGGGATGGGAGCTCGGCCGTTGGGTCTGCGCCGTGCTCCAGGAGCACCCGGACGCAAGACCCGTCGCCGTCGTCACTGGCGGCAGCAAAGTGTATAGGCCGCCAACCATCTGCGGTTTGCGAGTCCACATCAAGGTCTAAAGCCTCCAGGCAGAACTGAATAACTTCGGAGCAACCACTAGAGGCTGCTAAGTGGAGCACATTGCAGTCATCCTTTAGTGTGACCCCCGGGTCGGTCATTCCGTAGAAATCATAAGTGCATGTTTTCTCCCAGTCGAAGCTGCTGTCAATTTCCTGAATCTTGCAAAGAACGGGCAAGTTGCCCAGCAAGGCTGCAGTAAGTGCTGCGTTAAACCCAGTCGTCGATAACGCCGCTGGGTCTGCACCCGCTTCGAGTAAGACCAGCGCAGAGTCAGTTCGGTGCGCTTTAATGTAAGCTACGACTATTGGCACCCCTCCGGGAGTCTTTACGTTGGGATCACATCCCTTACGTACAATGGCAGACAGCTTGTGAGCGCTGTGTAAAATTCTAGGGTCGAGAAGCCTGTAGAGCAATCCGGTTCCAAAATTGTTGTCGTCGTCTAGACTTCTCACATCGACGTGCTCAAGGAGCTGGTCGAACATGGCTGGCTGACACCTCGAAAATGGCATAAATGCCGACTCGAATGCGGAAAAGCCCTGATGGGGTGCATGTATTGAAACACGCAAGTCGAGCAACTTCGCGACGAGGTCCGTATGATCCAGTTCAATGGCCAGCTTGAGACACTGTACAGCAGTCTTTGACTCTCTGAAGCTATCAGCTTTGGTTGATGCTTGCAGGATCGAGAATATGATTTCCTCCAAACACCTCGGGGTTATGACACGAGACGAAGCCATTTTCGCCCAGCTCGATAGAACCGGGATGAGCCCGCATTCTCCTTTCTCTTCCTCGTATTTTGCCAACGCTCTCTTCTTGATCAAGCATTGGACAGCATTGTGCAAAGAGACCCAGGCGTTGGCTCCCGACGGCCACTCGGAGGCCCATGTGCCGATGACTACAACAGCAAAACGCTCCCAGAGCCCAGCACCGTCACTGTTGCGGGATTGTAAGACGTTGCTTGTCAGAAGGTTGTTGTACGCAGCAACGTCGAGCGGCCGGGAGCTTTCAAAGAGTTGGTTCAGGCCGCTGCCGCTTAATCCCGAGTTATTGAAAAATGAAAACATCGTTTCGGCAGGCGACAGCCCCTCCCTTGTCAAAAGCGGCTCGACCTTCAGGTCTAAGAGCATTTTGACCAGAGGCTCACCGGCACCAGTGTTGAGGCAATGCAGGACGTTCCGGCCGTCGTTGTCCACTTCAAAGGGATCGGCACCAAAGTCAACTAACTTGCGAACCAATTCATAAGAGCACCATTCTGCTGCTAGGAAAATGAGGGGAGTCGGGCTCTGGAGATAAGCAACATTCGGTACGCAGACCTCAAGCATACGAAGAGCCCCGACGGGGTCTTTGGGTTTGGAATTGAGATTCCTCTTCATCAGCTTGAATGGATAGATGATGGACTGGGCGATGGGTGTTGATCCGTTTTTCATCAGCCCTTTGAGGTTTTGATCCTTGTGTTCGTCGTGTTCGTGAAGGACATTGATCAAATCGATGTCCGAGTTTGCAGCGGCGAAGTGCCAGACGTTGCGGCCACTTTCGTCGGTGTCTGTGGTTCTTGCGCCGCGACCGAGGAGAAGTTTGAGGACTTCTGGCGATTCGGAGAGCATCAGGGGTGTTTGGTCATGTTGATTGCGTACGTGAACGTCGATGGCCTCTCCGGAATCCAATATAAGAGATACCAGGTTGGCTTCATCGGCCTCAACTGCATAGTGAAGAATGGTGTAGGGTTTTAGGGGCTTTGGCAATGCGGCATTATCATCAAGAGTTGAGCTTGACCGCTTTCTGGAGTGGTGCTCCATTGATGCGTTGGGATCCCACCGAGGGTCCAGGATTAGCCTTCTGATGACTGCAATATCGGAGTCCTGGATTGCTTCACGGACCATGTTCGTATAGACCGTGTCCGATATGTCAAGGGGTCTTGATCCTCGGTCCGAACAAAGACCAGTGAGATCGAAACGTTCCATAACATCGTAAACTCCAGTCGCCAATAATGACCAGGTGTCATGTTCGCTGTCGTAATGAGAAACTGCGAGGTCGAGAATTTCGGGTAGAACAGGTGCCAGGAAGGAGGGCGTTAGCTGAGGCAGCGGTGACGGCCAGTATTGGAGAATGGAGTCCTTTCCGTGAAACAGCTGGACAAACCGCTTGTCGAGGTTAAGTTGCGACCGAAGAATGCGCACCATGATCTCTGGAGCATGTATCGACTGGCAGGTTAAGAACGCTAGAGTTCCCAGCGAGAACTCTTCATCTTGCTGGGGTCCAGCTGGGGTCAGCGCGCACGAAGCACCAGCATCCAGAAGAACGTTGAGGGTAGACTCTTGCCAGCCGCCTGGGCGGCAATCAGTTAGCAGCTGAGCCGGGTCAGCGGACCGAGCTAAAAGCGCAGCTGGGCCAAGTAGAGCGCAATAAAGAGGCGTCCCCATAGGACTCTGTTGGTTCACATCTTGCTTTTCCAGGATTATCAGATGCTCGCACAACTGCGGTAAACCCAGTGCAGCAGCAATGTGAAGAGGGCTGACAGATGCATCCGAACCTATCGACATCAGCCGAAGAAGCGGCGACATGGACACAGCGCCCGACTTGGGGTTGAACTTGTTCGGCCACTCTTGTCGAGCATACTCCAGAAGCCAGTGCATGAAGTTTGCAGACTTATTTGGGTGGAAAAGCATTCGGAGCCCTTCCTCAACTAAATGGTAGTAGGATAGGGCTACTTTGGGCAGAGCCCTTGCGCACGAAGCGTACTCGGGGTGCGTGATGTCTCTCTTAGCAACGTTCATCAGATGAGAGTGGCAGCTGTCTAACTTGTGGCCAAATTTGGTGTTTAGCAACACAGACAAGCATTCCACCGGATCAATGTCTAAAGCGTCGAGTCCCGGTTTGTTCGTCACGCCATGCTCTTGCTTCTGCGGCGGTTTGCGAGGCCCAGTCGCTGACAAACAAACAAGCAGGGCAGGCCAAGAAGCGGCCTGAACCGCCGGAGCGAGCTGGAATTCGAGTTTACGTATTTGAGACGTGAGTTCTGGTAGTGAAGTTGGTCCGCTTGCTGCTTTCGATGGTCCAGAGGCGGTCGACCAAGCCAGATTCAGGTCGTCAAGAGTGGTGGATAATTCATCGATGAGGGTGTAACCGGGACACGCCAGCTGTGCCTCATTATCCGCATCTTCAAGATCTTCGAAAAGAAGAGAGAGGCTATGGAGCGTGCCACTGATGAGTCTCAGTGCTTCCCGGATCTCGCCATGACTGCCTGGTTGGCGGATATGTCGATATGTCGACTCTGTTTTTGCCTGGACATCGGCGAGGCTTTGCCAGAGGCGCTGGTCCGATACCATCGTTAGGAACGCACTCGAACACGTCTCATACGCGAGTAAATGAATCAAGTGAGCACGATCGAGTCAAATTGAATGAGTCTTAGCATGGCTTGAGGCTCGGCGGAAGAGGTGCGATGGGCGGGCGGCATCGGTGGTTGAAGGTGGAGAATGACGAAATGCGGACCGCCGCACGTCAGCAACGACAGCAAGTTAATTTGCCCAGCAGATGTGTGTGCTTACATAAGATATCCACTGCCAAGTCGCATACGGCATCAACAGCATCGTAGGAGCGAGGCATCATCGTTTGGTGTCTTGCACTTTATTGTGCTATGTATCAATGGGATTCTCCGCCGAAATTCCTTTGGATCATATACAAGGGTTGAGGGGCTAAAAAAGAGGGGGGGAAAAAGTAAAAAAAGAGAAAGAAAAAAAAACCAAAGGAGCGGAATAAGAGCCTCGAGAGACGGCCATGGTATTGGCAGTCTATTTTACCATCATTGCAACTCGGAGTGTATGTGCCGTCGCTACACATCTTTGTCAATTGACCACCTGGTTCAGTAGCAATTACTGCAAGCATCTTTCATGACATAAGCAATATAGCTGCTAATAATAGCCTGTACGATCTGGAGATGGGCGACAACTTGCGGATTAAACCCAAGGTTTGGTACATTGGAGGTTGAACTTGAGAGTGGGTGATTAACAGACGAGATGTTATATTTCAAAGAAGAGTGGGGTGTTGCGACGGAGAAATTGACAACTATTTGTACTCGTTTGGCTGCATGTCGGCATCTCCATGCTTAAATCCTTTAAAGGTTTTAAGGCACCCGAACTATCTGCATGCCTCAGTCAGGAAATGCCCGAGAAACGCATCAAAGTTTCACTACTGTATCCTGGTGGCGGACTACTAAAACTTGTCAGGTCTGGGGCGAATGCCTGCTATTGAGTCTTCAAAGAGAAGGAAATATTGTTCTGCAAAGTGAATGTTGATGGCCTTGCGGTCATCCTTGGATGGTTAGAAAAAATCATATCATGTAACAACAAAATGGTCCTCAAATTAGGTGTAACGATGGATATCTCGATGAACCACAGACATTTGACTTTCCACGACTGATGTGGCATGATTGATGATCGTCAGACTCGTAGCATGCCTAGCCTGAAATCTAATTTACCTCCAGTACTACGAAGGCCCTATACGTGTACCAGGAACCCGGTTAGGGGGTAGATGGAAAGGCAGAAAACCGAATTCCCGGATGGCTGGGTCCTAGTTGTTGCTCGCTCGGATTCTGGCCGATAGTCATAGAGGACTTGAATAGCATAACTCTCGAAACAACTTAGAACCACCTCAACCGCTACGCATCAGCGCTGCTATTCTTTTGTTGTTCCATATACACCCCGGCGTTCTGTTTAGCTCGATGCTGGGAGGTATTTGTGGATGCTCTCCAAAGCTAACTTGGACTCTTTCTGTTGGGCGCTGGCCCGTTCTCATAACAATAACAATCATACCGAGCAGTTAATCACATACCGGTATGTTAGTTGATCGTGTGTTCCATGCGTAGCAGCTATCCAAATTGCGATGGAAGTGCGCCTTGCCTATTCTAGACCTTGTCAAAGCTTTGGCGGGGCGTCCGAGGTGTTCTGGTATTTCATCAATGGCGTTGCTGTTCAGAGTCTGTGGTGTTGTTGTGCCAATTTCACATTTCTCATTCTGTTGGCTAGTGTCGAAGATTGAGCAGAGAGCATGAGCTCCCGTCGTGCATTTACCTCTGAACTGCGGCTCATTTTGATTCTGCAGCAGCAGATTATCAATGCCTTGCCTCTCGTGATTTCATTTGAGGCCGCTTCATTCTTGGATCCTATGTCTAATGTCGGCAAGCTCTGAATCACGTCACAAGTGCTGACGGGAGAGCGCCCGAAGAAAAGCAAAGAAATGAAAGGTCGACTGGAACTGTGCCTTGGCTGGTTTTCCACCGTTTTGTTAGCCTCATGTAGGTCTATTCTTATGTGCTGATGGTCTCAGCTCGCGTGCCGTCGGCTAAGCCCTGCGCTTCCGCCGTCATGATTCCTTCTTCTTGTACTCTTGTATCAGCCATCACGCTGCTTCATATGAGAAGCTACTTGTCGTACAGGTGTTCCCCGCAGTGTCACTGCCAGACGGCCATGGAGGATGCATCACGGCCCATTCGTGGCTGCTTGTCAAACCTCGATTTCCCTGACAACAGCTCGGTGGCTCTCCTTTCTCCTATTCTTGCTCGAGGTTTGGAGAAATCCGAAGGACATAAGAGACTAAGAAATAAGTGGCAAGTGCTGCACGGTTCTGTCTGTGAGGCACCGGATACATAATTATCTTTGCCTGTTTGAGCAGAAGACCTACAACCGTGCATCCTTTTCCTGGTACCACCAATCCCCTTCTCTCTCTGTCATAATATTCCCTCTATAAAACGCCGTGTACAATATACAGCCAAATGATATGGGGCAGCTTGTTTGCACACCTGGCTCATCACATATTTCGCTGTTAATCTTCGTTCCGAGCCATTCCTTTCGTTTTTAGAGCCGCTATTTATACAGCATACAAGGGTCATCTGGCCGTTCCCTCAACAAGACCGCACCAACAAGACCGCACCCGGTCTTACGGGACCTCGGCATCTCCCTTGTAGCTCGATAGCTAGCGAGGCCAAGTGGCGATGCTGATCTCCTCAGCGGTGGACGGCTTGAAGCCGTGGAAACGAGGCCTTTCGCATGGACTCCACCTGATACATCTAACCAAAAAGATCGCAATCCGGTGGTCAGAACTTAAAATGGTTCCAGGTCCTTCTCCCGCCCCCCTTTTCTTGATGTAGCACACTGGACAGCAAATTATGGGATGACCAAATCGCGGATACCGTTTGACGATGTCGTTTTCTCGCTTCCTAGCTGAAAAGATGGCGCCGATCACACCATCCATCGAACCCGAAACATCCATTTGCACCAGAACGGCGACGCGGGAGCCTCTATTGCCTTTCTTGGTCATGATCGCTACGTGTTGCTACGGCTCTTGGAGCCGTTGAGGAATCAGTTCTCCTCGTTCTCCACCCCCCGCTGGCCCTGCAGTCCATCGAGTTGCCTCGCACACTGCTCCCATAGCCGCCGCTATCTCGGACGCCAGGGGTACATGCCAGCTGTAGTGTGAGACATCCGGTGGCCGCCACCGACCAAAGCGTCGCAACGGCGTTGTGCCCCATTGCGCCGGCGACAGGGACCAGCCAGGCGGTCTGGGAGAGGCCATAAGTACTACGTAGTAGGGCCTGTGCCACCGCTAATCGACACGCAATGGCGGGAGATCGTCCCCCGTGTGGATCAGGATTCCCTGGGTAACCCCGCTTCAACCGTCGTCGTCCAGACGCCCTCGTGATTTCCGATTATCGAAGCCAGAGTTTAGATGGCATGACCGCCAGCCCCTTCTGTTCATCTCAGCTTCTAGCCTGTAGTATGATTGGTTCGTCACCGAATGAGGGGGGGAGGCCTGGGTGAAGGCGCTTCTCCACGCCCGTCGCCCATCCGTTCGAAGGTACGCCAGGGCGCTTCACCGTCTGGTTGCTTTTCCTGCGTCAAATACGTGCATTGTGGCTCCGGGGTGGTCTCTCGTACGAACCCTGGAACCGCAGACCGACAATCAGCACAGTTCAGGGTCGACAAGGGCCTCTGATTTGCACCTATCTGGGGGCTGGCCTGGCACACATTCCTGGGAAGTGATCGACACTCCGCACAGGCAAACGGGACTGACCATGGGCGCCCCCCCCCCTCCAACCCTTATTAACCCTTGCACAATACATACCCAGGCACACTGTCCGGACGCCGTCTCTCGGCAGCGTGTTTGTTCTTGGGGCCCAGGTGAATTGGAAATCGCGGGTGTCCCCCACAAGTTCGTGGCGTCGTCCTAAGACACACAACTGCCCATGGCGTTTGACAAGCAAAGAGACTTCCCAATGACGAGTCAGGGCCTGTGCGCCGGTGTCTTTGCCATAATTAAGCACCGACTGCCGGCCACCTCTCCCATCTCCAGAGAAACCTCCTTTCTGGTTATGACCGCATTTGTTGTTGGATTCCGTCAACCTGGTTATGGCCCCCGACAGACATATGATGCAACGTGAACCTCAACTTCCGTCCTGTTTGACTGTTTAGGCTCCGCGTCTCGTCAATATTCATCCGTTCGTTTTCTTTCGTTCACTGAGGCCTGCTCCGGGGCCGGTATACCTCACATTCTTTACTGGTCACTCATTTTCTCACCACCAAACCACTGCATTACCATGACCTCGAACATGTCACGGGGATCACCAGTCACCCCGCCATACGATCATGATTATAGCCAGAACCCTGTGGGGCTATCTGAACCTAGCTCAAAGCAGAGCCCGCCCTCGGCCTCCCTACCTGTCCCTACCATGATGTTATCCCCTCCTCCGACCCCCCGAGCCTCCCGCCCCAAGAAGCTGTCGATGAACCTGAGGAGCAACTCAGGCCTGTCGTTGCACACGAATGAAAACGCGTTTCGCCAATATACCGACTATAACCCCGATGGGTCCCCGAGATCCCCGACGTTTGGCTCAGGGATGTGGACCAGCCTTAATAGTGTCTCGACGAGCTTGCGCCGCAACTTTGGGCCGACTGTAGTGGAAGCTCAGCCCGAGGCTTGGCCAATCCCGGACTTCCTCGGGCGTGAGCTTTTTCAGATGGTCCTCAACAACGCCACTACCTCGCTGCGCCTTTTCCAGTTTGCCCAGCGTTCCGGCTACGGGCCGGACGTTGAATACCTCCTGCGGATCCAGGAGTACTCCAAGGCCTTGGCGGTGTTCGGGAAGCAGGTCTCCATGGTGCCCACGCCTCGTAACCTCCCGCCACCAGTTTCCAAGTCCCTTAACGCCGACATGAAGCAGTTGACCGGCACCGTCCTGCCCGGCCTCGAGCTGCTCTTCACCGAGTCGACGCGCTGCGTCGAGACAAGGGTCGCGCGGACGGTGTACTCGGCCTTCGTGAAGCAGCAGCTCGCCAACTGCACGTCGGCATCTCTACACGGCGCCCACGGTTGTTCCGCGTATCCCGGTCTCGCCGAGTCTTTCTGCATCGTAGACGTCCTTACTCCCGACCAGACGATCGCCGCAGCATCAGACGCCTTTGTCTCTG